GTACAATAGTGAACAAATTGACAAAAAATTCCTGCTCTTATAAAGTTTATAACCTAGAAGTAAGAGAAAGACAAAATAAAAGTAAACAAGTGAATTTTCCAGTATGCTGATAATCAATAAAAAATTATAGGGAAAAAAGCATGGAGGGGTAGAAAGTATTGTGATATAAAATAGGGTGGCAAAATAAATCTTCATTGATGAGATGACATTTGAGGGAAGAGCTACAGAGGGTGGGTGAGCAAGCCATACGGATATTTGAGAGAAATATACCCCAGCAGTGGGATCAGAAAGTGCAAAGGCCCTGGGGTGGGAGCATGTCTGGTTTTCCATGGGGAGCATGTCTGGTTTTCCATGAAGAGCAGAGTCAGTGTTGCTGGAGCTGAGCAGTAAGATGGGCCTCAGGAGGCTCTGAGATCAAAAAGGTAAACAGGTTCATGACCTCCAAGGCTTTACAGGTCATTGTAAGGACTTGGGATTTTACTCTGAGATGTCAATCTTTTGGAGATTTGGGGTAGAAAAGTGACATGATTTGACTCTTATTTGTAAAGCAAACCACTCTGGATGCTATGTTACAAACAGACTATACAAGGCAAGGATGGTAAGACCTGGAAGAAAACAATTAGAATAATTCAGGTGGGAAATGATAGTGATTTGGACAAAGGGTAGCTGTGAATGTGATGAGTATTGCTTGAATTCTGGATTATTGGATATCTGAAGATAGAGCCAATGGGATTTGATGATGAATTGGATGTGGAGTAAGAGATAGGTCAAAGAACTGTGTTGCTGTTAGCTGAGAAGACTGCATGAGGGAAAGTATTGTATGTGGTGTGGGAAAATCAAGGGTCCTGTTTTGATCATATAAATTAGAGGTATCACTTAGACTTTAAGGAGAAAGGTCCAACTCCGGGGTTCAGGGGACAGGTTGGTCTGGGAATATAAACCTGGGGGCATTACTGTATAGAAGGTAATTAAAGCCATGAGACTAGATGACAACATGGAGACAATAAAGAAGAGAAGCATCCCAAGGTCTTTATGATCAAAGAGGAATAATTTAGTTTACCTCTTCAAACCTGGCTAAATCTGGTATGCACACAAAGCTGCGGCCCGCAACACCCACATCACCCACACATCCATAGAAATAGCCAATCCTTTCAGAAAAAAGTAAATTCAAGGTCCATTCTTTTTATTCAAGGTCAAAACTACAAAATTCTGAGCTGCTGGATCCTGAAATGCTTGCTTCCCTTGTAGCATTTTAACAACTTTGACCAGTGGCCAGCTGCTCCCTATAATTCCAGCCACTTACTTTTTAAATCACTTCCTGCTACTATTTCCTTTTTTCTTTCAATCTCCTGTTTGCAACTGTTGTGTGGGAATAATAGGGCAAAGAACTGATTAGGTTAACTTGCTTCTATCACTGCTCGTTTGTCACTTACAAAACTAGAAAAGAAATATAACACAACAGAATCCAATCAGGGTCAAAGCTTCATTACTCTTATTTCTCTTTCACTTTCTCTTATCATTCTTTCCCTCCCTCCTCCCCTCCCTCCCTCTCTCTCTTCCTCTTGTTTTTCTAAACAGATTCTTTTTGGAGATATTTTTAGTGCACACACACACATACACACAAATCAGAGTAGATTTCTTCTACTAGAATCTGGCTACAAATCACTGAGTTACTATTTTTCCCAAACTAAGTCACATATCTCACTTAAAAACTTAGATAAAACTGTCTAACTTTATAGTTTAAAATCTGGAAACCACTAAGTATATTTTATACCCATTATAATGTACAGATCCTTTTTATAGGATGCATTATAAATGCTAAGAAGTGAAATTAATGCTAGGCCTACTATTATCCTAGTACTCACCTATCATTTTGCTCCAGGGTTTGGTCTTTCAGTATAGTTCTGGAGTTGATTACACTGACTTGCTTTAAAGCATGAGCTGGAGAGGAAGATGGTGAGTACTTTTATATCCATAAAACACACAATGCACAAAACAGAGAGAAATATGATGAAAGATTACACAAGTTCAAGAATTTCTTGTATTCTGGATCCATGGGTATACTGGAAGCCCTTTCATTTTCCCCATTATTTCCCCTTCACCTAAAATTTCTTGTAATGTCTTAATAAAACTAAGATTTCATAATGAAAAAGCCTACAGAGAAATTCTTTTTTGGATGTCAGGGAGGAGTGCTAATCTATTTTGGATCTTCCACAAAGGGGTTAAGTATTTGCCCAAGAGGAACACAACTCTAGTCTCTGAAAGAAAAATGCAATTTCATCAAGTTTTTTATAAAAATGTTATTATTGTGAAGATTATTACAAAAATACAATGGTAAATTCCTCAAATTTCTGTCATGTTCTTACTAATGTCATTAATACTAATTATAGCTTTTTCTGTAGCAGGCACTGCTCTAAAAGCTTTACAAATATTAACTCTTATTTTTTCATAACTACCTCTGTTAAGAAGATACTACAATTATTATTTTACAGTCCACATTTTAGGGATAAAAAGCACAGAGAAGTAAAGCAGATGACACAAACCAAAGCCACTTACCTAGAACTACAAGACTGAGGTTCAAGATACTGTTAGTGAATTCGATGGGAAGCTTCTCAGAGGTAGGGAGAATTCTGTCTGTTTGTACAGTATAATACTTAAACTCCTTGAATTTCAAATTTTTTATCTTTAAAAGGAAGGGATTGGACTTAGAGATTTCTCAGGTCTCTTATATGAATTCTATGCTTTCTTATTTCTAGAAGTAAACATCCAGCCCTTAATGGAAGACCCTGATTTACATCAACCACTTCTATGAAAATAGGATTCCATGTCTCACAGAATGAAAATTCAATTTGGAGATGTTTCAGCCTCTCCAGCCTAAGGCACATTTTCTTTATAGCTGATAATAACAATGCTAAATGTACAATGTATAGAATGTGTTCACATACACTATACAGTTGGAGTGCCAAAATGAACTGGTAAGATAAAAAGACTAGGTAAGCTTACCCTTATTTTGTAGGGAAAAATAAAACTCAGATAGGGTTAGTGACTTGCCTGAAACCCAGAGTTGTCAAAGAGACAGAGACAGAGAGAACAAGTGTACTGAGCCCCACGTTCCTTCCTGTCTTTCACACTAAGTGTACTTGTTCCTACAGGTTTGATACACTGTTTAAGAGTTTGATTGGCATCTGGCATGAAACAGCAGTAACAATGGATTCAAATTCTGAAATTTAACAATCTGTCTTAACTCGTGCAAGGTATCTAATCTTTTTGTAAAATCAGGACCAAGAAGCCTCAGGAGGTTTTGGAAAGAATTAAGTAAATGTAACGCTTGTGAATCTACTGACATAATCAATGCCCAAGCCATCCTACCTGTCATCAGTAACATTAGTGTGGGTAAGAATTAGCCTAAGTCTAGGCTATGAATATATAAATTCATCTTTAGTCTTCGTATCGTTTTTCATAAACCCTTTTCTCACCTCTGATTGTCTTACATATATTCCCATGAGGAAGACTTGTAGATTTTTCCCATGAGGTAAGACTTGTAGATTTTTCAGAGCTACACACATTTTTAGAGATCCAGTGTGTCTAAACCCAAATCATACTGTGAACTCTGCTTTTTCTAGTCATCTATTTTCAACTCCAGTACTGAATGTGAGAATGATAGGAAAAGAAGAAAAATTGTCTGTGTTATAAGCAGTGTTGGGGGAAAAGGAGTGATACAAATGTGCATTGTTCACTTCCGTATCAGCCACTAGGAAAAACGGACCTAGTTCAAGTTCTATTTTATTTTTCGTAAGTGAGAAGAACCAGAGAAGTTAGGTCATTTTTATGAAAACTTGTATTAGAACCCAGGGCTCCTGGTTCTAACTTTTTCTTCCACAATGTTGTGATGACTTGTACTCCCAATTTAGTGTCGTATAAGTTAAGAAGAATTTTTAAATAAAAGAATTATGTACCTTTTAAAGGAATTTTTGAACAGAATCAAGACCAAAAAATTAATTATAATAAATAAACAATAGATCACAGAGAGATTTTAGAACTGAGGGTCACACTTCTCAAATCATACTCCCTGTTCAGGGAATCCGTTTCTCCTAAATCCTGATAAAAATGCTCTCCCGTATAATTAGATGTTTTTCCTTACTATTTATGCAAATAAGAAAAAGGAATTTCCCACGGGGACAGGCGTGCACCTAACATCTGTGGGAACCGGGGAGGAGTATAAAGGAAGGCCTGTGTGCCAATTTCTAATTATTTAATAGTCACAGACAGAACTAACAGATTCATAAATAAGTTCTATAGCTTACCCTGGCACACATGCCTTCCAAACTACCTGGAAGGCGAAGTCCAGGTGAGAGGGCTTGGAGCCCTGAGAATTCCTCTGGGGAACACAGCAGACCCGGGTGAGGGGCTCCTAGTCAAGGCCCTTGTGGCTTCTCTTCCACCCCAGCTCCAACCTTCACCATGTCTGTGAATACCTCAGTGACATGCCCAGGCTCTGCCAAACCCCCTCCAAAAGAAAAAAACAAAACTCCTTAGGCCAAAGAGTGGTGAATGCCAGCAGAGCAGCCTACCTTTGGGAGGGCAGAACTGAAGAATAAGCCTAGGTCCCTGGAATAACCATAGGTCATTTGGGCAGAGAATTATGGGACCCTGAGGACCTGGAGTGGTCAAGGAGTGGGGGAGTGGGAAGAGGACCTCTGATGGGCATAACCCCTAGGCTTTGGCCAGAGAGCCAGCCAGGGAAGGCAGAGCAGAGGCTCTAAAACATGGAGTACAGGACTGGGGCACACTGGCCCAGGTCTGAGGACAGTACTGCAGGAGTGTGACACTGAATGTAAATGAGGTTGAAGCTGTTGTCTGGTACGGTGTTTTATATCAATTTTATATCAGGTAATCTATTTTTGTCTTGCTCTATGTGGTAACTAATAAAATTATACTATATACGTCTGGCCTTTTACAAATTATCTATCTATCATTATTATGAGTAAAGTAATTTTATGGCTGCTTTTAAAAAGCCTTTACATATATATTTTTTATTCAGCATCCAAGAAATCAAAATTCCAGAAATATTCATTTTTGCAAACATATTCTATTTCTAGTACAAAAATTGCCATTACTTACCACCTTTCTGAATTTTAACAGAAAAGATACAATATTGAAGTAATTAGAAAAAGTTCAACTTATATTTTTCTAACTCTTGCGTATTTCTGATGGCAAGATAGTAACATCTATTAATGTCAGCACAACTTCAAGAATAACACTGCTTTCCACTTATTACCACAGAGGACTTGTGTACACAGAAGATATATCAATGCAGAGAAAGCATGATGTTTGTTTCCAAAGCCAGAAATTTAAACAAGAGCAAATTCCACAAATTTCAAAAGTGAGTTTCATATTTTATGGTAAATTAAATTTTGAACGTAAAACTTACAGACTGCTTGCTTTTAGAGCTGTATTTTCCAAAATAATACAATTTATATTTCACTTAGCCTTTAAGATAAGTGGGGGAAAAAAATACACTGGCTCATAGCATTCCAAGTCATCCCATTAACTGAGGAGACAAACTTCTGTAGAAACAAAGGAGGTAGATTCACTTGTTTAACAAACGGCTACTGAGTACCTATTAGTTGCCCAGCAGGAGGCTACCTTAGTGCTGGGGCTGGAGACCACATCCTCATTCTAGCCCGAGGAGACACTCACAGACACAGCTTTCCTACACTCTAAACATAAATTATTACTTAGTCTGAACAAACAGGCAAGAGCTCATTTCCAAAATTGCTAGCCATTAAGAAAAGACAAGGTGCTTCTTTTATTAAGAAGGACCACAGCCATCTGATGATGCATCAGATATTTCTGAATGCATCTCCATATAGAGTATGCGAATTTGAAAAAGGAGTGTAAACAAGGAATAAAAAAATAGTAATACAAACCTAATGTGTATTAGCTTAGAGAAACACATCAGCAGAATGGCTTTGTTTTTTGATTTCATGGCATTAAAATACTAAATTGCAGCGATCCTGTTAAAAAGATCATATTTTATTGACCTTTATAATCCAGGTAAAGTGTAAAGTGAATTAATGGAAATCAGTTCATGTAGGAACTGCTAAGACATAGGTCTATATTTCTTCTTTTTACCCTGAAATTATGAAATAGTTCACTGATTTTACAGGCATTTCTCAGTGCTGTTCTGGAAAGGAATAGGGCAAGGATCAAGATGGTGATCTCCATGAGAAACCATCTGTAGCTGGAAAAGAGATCCAATGTTCAGAGTTGGGAAATGACTGGTCTTTGGGATATTAAACTATTGCTAGACTTCAAACATCCTTTTGTCCTAATTAGATAACGATCAAACCACTTCATTTACATAAGCATCTATGAATTTTAGTTCAAAATACTAAGACTATAGTAACAAAAGTTAGTACTGAGTAAACTCAATTGTTATTTTATAAAAGTTAGATAAATATCATGCCTCCTTGTCATTTTTCAGATTCGTTTCCTTTTGTTTCTCTCCCACAACATGCAGTAATACGTTTTAAATATTTATTATTTATTTGACATGGATTTATGCTCCCTGTTCTTAATTTAAAAGAAAGTAGAATGTTTAGACCCATAATATTCTAAACCTGCCACAGAGCATATAAATCATCTAATCTCTTATTTCATAGATGAACAGAACCTGGGGCATAAACTTTTGCTTAAAAGACCATAGATGAGGCAGATTTTTAGCTGGTGTGTCCCAATGTACGTGCTTCCTTTCCAGAGAAAGAAAGATACCCAGCTCCTGACTCAAGCAGCATGAATGAAGTGAAATGCACAGCGAAAATCAGGCAGTTCCAGTGGGTAAGCAGACTGCACCTGAGGCTTGCTTCTCATTGTATCCTCACCTTTTTCTTGCCCACTGAAGGCCTGAAGCAAATTCGCGAGACTTAGGGGTTTGGACAGCAGTTCCTGGTATGTCCCCATTTGCGCTACTCTGCCACTTTCCATCACAACAATAAGATCCACCTGTGGTAGAAGTGTGAGGTTGTGTGTCACTAAAATTCGAGTCTGAAAAACAAAATGTTTTATTCCTTGGGTTACAAAAAAAAAATGGCAAAAATAACCTATTTTTAAGAGAGCTGCAGTCTTTGTTTGTTTTGACTACTTCAGGCGGTAATTCTTGGTAGGCACCAATTTAAGGCAGCATATATATATTTTATAATAAATGATGATACACTGCTAGACAAAAAAATAGTTGGCAAATGTTTTTAACCTGTTGTTCAGGTATTCTTTGTTTATTAAAAATGAATCCATTTTACAACAAATTAATAATCTTATACCTGTCATTCTCGTTTCCTTTTTCTAAGATCCTGTATGTAGCATTACAAAAACATGCTCAATTAAAGTTATAATTCACGGTGTTTATTTTTAAGTGTTTGTATATTATTTATGTATACACATAAAATTGAATGAGAAATTTTATCTTGGGTTCATTTCAGTAAGTAAAGACATCAGTCTATTATTTACTTAGGTATTTATTTTACCATTTTATACATTCATTTCATTTTTCCAGAGTGTTCTGTATTAGTAAATTAGAAACACATATTGTGAAGGAATGAGAATGGCTTTGTGGTCAGAATGACTTTTAAAAATCTCCATGGTTCTTCAGCTAAGCAGCTGTTATCAAGCCATTTTGAGCACCAAGTTTCTTCATATGTAAAACAGGAATAATATAATGCCTGTCTCAGAGACTTCCTATAAGAACTAAATAAACTAATTTAGTGTCAAATATGATATGCCCTTGACAAATGTTAATTCCTTTCTTCTTGGTTTCTTCACAAAACAATTGATTGTTATGGCTGCTGTTAATAATACCAAATTTTAAGTAATAATAAAATAATATAATTTTGTATAAAGGTGCTATTCACCAAAATACCATTTTTCAAAATAGTTAAGTAAACTAAAAATAACTCATTTTGACACATAAATCCCCTTACAATATGGTATTGGTCAATGAGGTAACTTGGAGTAAACTTGTAAAATTTTAAAAATATTCATTAAAGTTTGTCCGTAAGAGAGCAGTATGACATCCTGTTTTTTTCATGTGAAATTTGACCACTTTACTTCAACAAATAAACAAAATATTAGAATTTTAGGGACAATGCTGTGCAGATTACCCTCTCCCCTTCACAGAAGCAGAAGTGACGCTCTGACTACCTTGTTTTTCAGTATGCCTGAGGACCCGATCACTTTTTCAAAAAGTTGCTTCCCAACATGAACATCAACTGCAGACAAGGGGTCATCCAGGAGATAGATGTCGGCCCCACTATATACGGCTCTGGCCAGACTTACTCGATGCTTCTGACCCCCACTTATATTCACACCCTGAAAATGAAGAAAAAATAAATAAATAAAACCCAAGACTAGAGGGAAAATGTGCAAATTTCAAAGCACATATATTTGTGTCCAAATTCTCTTCTGCAGCAGACATTGGTAATAACTCAAGACCAACACTCAAATCTTTCTTTATCCTGAAATTCCAAAGGCCTCCCCCTCCCCCTCTATTTCCTAGTGCTAATAACTCGTGCAAATTAACAGATATATCTACTTTCTTTTAATTGCTTGCTCTCAAAAGTAGCTGCTAACAATTAAGGAGAAAAGAATTTCCAATTTCCTAGCTCTGAAAAGTCGTGCCTGTGGAATATTAAACTAGAGTTTTGGCTGCCAACCATATATTAACACCAGTGATCATTTTTAAATTGACACATAGGAAATTGAGAATAATAGTTAAATTAGCAAAGCAGTAATCAACATGTCCTATTTTCTTCTATAGAAAGATTAGTACAAGTCTTGTTGGCAAAAGTACAACTCTAAGAAGCAAGCATAAGGAACATACATCACTCCATGTGAGAATTAAAGTGGACATGTACAGCCATGTATGGAGAATTATGGGGCAAGGCCTAATTTACTTGATTTATTTTATATTGAGTGTTTACAGGGCTGGTTTAAAAGCTCTCCGTGCAGCACAGAACTTAGCCAGTGACCTATAATTGTAAAATGCCATTGCTTCTTTGCCTTTCTCATCCTCCTCCTACTCAACAATTATCTCCTTTGTATAACTATATTCTGGGTGCTATGCTAGCATTTGAGATTTAAAGATAAATGAAACTGGGCCCCTGTCATGGAGAGGTCACATTTTAGTAGTGCAGCCAGGTGTGAAAAAATATATACAAAGTAGTATGATACATATATGAGTGTATGTGTATGTGTTTGTGTATGTGTGATGATAAGAGCCACCAACACATGAGTTTGTCATGAGCATTTAATAAGATAAGTGTAAAATACTTAGGGCAATTCCAACACCGAGTACAGACACAATCAACATCAACTAGTATCACCCAGTTACTCCTCTCTCCAATCCATCCTCTGACTTGTCATCACTTATCCTTTTAATTATGTTATCATCTTGCTTAAAAATCTTGGATGCCCACATCTCCTTCTTCCCAACATCCATGAGCAACAGCAAATCCCTTAGGATAAGTCTAAGATACTTGTATTCTGGAATTCACACACTTTTCAGCCACTCACCCAATGCCGCCCTCAAGTGACCGGGACCGGCAAGCAGACCAGTCTGCCCTTTTGTATCTGGGCAGAGGCTGTTCTCTCTGCTTCAGGGCCCTTAACCTCCCTTCTCAACTCAAAAGCTACTCCCTTTAAGAAGTCCTCTTTGAAATCTATCTTCTACCCAGCATTCCAAGTAAAGTGCTTCGTTCCCTCCCTTCCTGTCCTGCCATGTTCTGTTTACGCATCCCACTGCGAGGAGTGGCAGTGCCCATGTCAGTCTCTCACTCTCTTGTGAGCTCCTACCTGGTTTATCCCTGCATTCCTAGCCTACTGTGTCCAACATTAGGTGATTAATAAATACTGGGAAAGACAACTTATAATATCATTAGCTGAGATCCAGTAGATTGCAAATCCCTTGAAGACAGGGTGACAGCTCTCTTGCTTACCGTTATGTACCCTATAGCAGAATAAGGGCGTAGAAAATATTAGTCAATATTTGTGCTCAGCTGAAGAACGCCAAAGGAAAAGATGGCTGTAAGTGAGGGAAATTCTACGTTCGTTACCTTGGTTGTCTCACAAGTAGCTGTAAACAGATTTCGTTTTGAAATATTCGATCACATGTTTGTTTTAAAGCACATCATTAGACTGGGAGAAATTGAATTACAAAAATACAAAAAGAAGAAATTATAAGTGGCAATAACATTAAATGACTATATTAAACCTACACTTCACATTTTGAATTTTTTCCACTTTAATTTCTTTTTGTTACATATTAGCTATTTCATAGTGTTAGAGATTGACTTTATCAATATAATGTTCATAAGCATTAACAAGTTTAAAGAAGTCATATTTCTGCATAATCTTAGCTATGGTGCCATTTTGCCTAGGAACAGTGAAGACGCCAGAGAAAACACAGAGGTTGGAAAATAAATGATCTATTTAACATTGAGAAAATACATCTGCAAGGTGAAGGCTATGAAGAAAGCCAATATAAGTCTAATTAAAAGGTAAATTTTGCCTCATCTTAGATTTTAAATATTTTCACTTTCTACAATTTTGTTCCTATAATGTATTTTTCAATTGATATAACAAGACTATTAAACAACATTAGGCCAGGGGGAAAGATGCCAGCAATATTATGCTAACTCTCCTCAGAAATTCAGAGCACTAAGGATTATTTACTTATCTTCAGAGTACACATGAATCATCACAGAGGCTGCTTTTGCATTCATGTTTAATTAATGGAGATTTTAGTCATGGGTTGGGGGTAATCTCTCTGGGTTCACACGTTGGGTCATGATATCTTGTTTTGTTCTGTTTTGTTTTTAACTCCAAAACACTGGGCAGCATAATGATTATTCATTAACGCAATGAAAATAAAACAGAACAAAGAATAAGAGGCCTGGGAAGCAAGTCCTGTTAAACCAGAATGCACCGATGTGGAACTGGCACGTTAATGACAGCATCATCCCAGAGCCTCGTTCAAACCTGCCCTTGGTGCCACCAGAGACTGGTGTTCTGTTGCTACTGTCCTGGGCTTGACTTTGTGCACAAGAGATACAGGAAGAAACAAAACTATTACTCACTCATTAGACAGCAAAATGCATTATGCCAGCAACTAAGACAACATGTTGATGACCCAGCTGGTGGGCTCTCACGCCCCCATTTGGATGTAACAGCAGAAATTCCTGCTGATATTTAATCTGTTTTCCAAATAGTCCATAATAAATAATCACTTGTCCTTAATATTGCCATTTCCTTCATAGAAATTCTACACTGACTTTTTTAAATTATAGTTGTATAGCTCTTTAAGACCTTAGTAAAAGGGTTATAAATATTTTATTAGTGCAGCTGAATGGAATGCTATTCCTGCATATGATAAAATATATTTTCCTTACTCTTTCTCCAATCTCAGTTTGATCTCCATTTGGTAACTGCTCCAAATCAGGGAGGAGAGCACAGGCTTCCAACACCCGCTCATAAAACTGCTTTTGCATGACGGAGCCAAAGAGAATGTTTTCTTGCAAAATGCAATTCTGAATCCAGGCCTGCTGGGAAACGTAAGCCACAGAGCCCTAGAAAAGAAATAAATAAAAGAAACACTCTTAAGGGGAGAGGAGACGTTGTATGCACCACATTAAAGGAACATATTTAGTCCATGGCTTTACTTTCTTTAAATTGAATCTTAAAAATTATGTTATTTCTTAAATGTAAATACATCCTATTTACATTTTAATCTCACATCTGCTTTAATCTTATACGTGTTTCTGAGAGGCCCCTTCAAATGGGTCATTGCACTGTTTATTTACTTTCACTGCAGCTTCTATCAAAATTCTCTCTCCCTGATGGGATTTCTGGAAGCAGGTGTTAAGTGATTAGTCAGCTCTACCTATCCTAACGAGGTACCACAAACTGGTGGCTTAAACAACAGCAATTTATTTTCTCACAATTCTGGAGGCTAGAAGTCTGAGATCAAGGTGTTGGCAGGGCTGGTTTCTCCCGAGGCCTGTCTCTTTGGCTTGTAGATGACTGTCTTCTCCTGAGTCTTCATACGGCCTTCCCTGCACGCGTGCGTGACTGTGCGTGTCTTAATTTCTTCTTCTCACACAGACACCAGCCATACTGGATTAGGGCCCACCCTACAGACTTCATTTTCAGGTAGTCGCCTCCTTAAAGACCCCATCTCCAAATACAGTTACATTTTTATGTACTAGGGGTTAGGACGTCAACATATGAATTTTGGGGGCGGGGGGACACAATTCAGCCCATAACACTGAGTCTGGGGTGCAAGTCGTTTACCTGGGATCAGTTCTTGTGAAAGGAAAGGAAGAAGGAGGACTGAGTAGAGAGAGATGTCACACAGTGGTTCTTTTAAAATATCCTTTTAACTAACCCTTGTCTTCCAAATGACATACAGTATTTGAACTGTGGGTTCAAATAGACTTACCTTTCAATCTGCCCCATGGATTCTATCCAAACACTGATTTTGGAGCATTCTGATTATTGTGTACTCTCTAACAATACCACGCATTTAAAGTACTTTCTGACGTAGACCTGTATGTAACTATTAGCGTTTTGATTCCTACCAACTACTCTGGAGATCAAAGATTAACTTTTAATTCTTCCTTGTTGAGCATGTAAGACATACAGTGGCTTTTGAGCCAAAACAATATAATTGTGACCTGACTTGATCTTGAACACAAAAGTAATTGCTCTTGAATGGCCTTGCTTAGTGAATAACCTTTGATTATAATAGCATATTAAATCAGTCCTCAGGTGATAGAGGTTTTGAATATTTGCTCTATATTAGGCAAGATAAGGGGACTAAAGGGTAAAGGACACGGGAGAGAAGACTGCAGAACAGAAAAAAATGCCATGTAAAATAAAACAGGAACCTAATACTTCATTGAGAGGCATAGACTTGATGCACTGGTATGACAGGACCTGAAAAAGAGTGAATCAATTTTCACAAAGATATAAAGTTTTCCTATTATTATTATTATTATTATTATTATTATTATTATTATTATTATCTCACATACAAATGAAAATGTGTTTTTGTTTCATTTCATTCTTAATCATTAATAGATTAAGTTTAATCATTAATAAATATAATCATTAATAGATTAAATTTAATCATGAATAATACAATCATTTTACTGTATTAACCATTAATGCAATAGAAGTTTTGCTAATTCAAAAGTGGTCTCTACATTTCTGATGTTCCATTAAAGAACAGGGAATGCATGAATGATGTGTGATATAAGCCTTTGATACTGAGAATAGAGGATCTTGGAATTGATCTCGGTATCTCCTCATGAGACTATGAACTCTGTAAGTGGAGTAGTGCATCCTATTCATATTTATATCCCTGGTATTAAGTGCCAGGCACATAGTATGTGCTCAATGGTTGCTCTGTAAAAATAGCTGAAGAAATTGAATGAAAGTCAAATCAATATGACAAGCATTATATTTATAAAGGATATTCACTGGCCTAGGAAAGTTATAGTCATCTTGATCGATAGACAAACAGCTAGCTGTAATCATTAGGAAGAGCACAGGGATACAAAGATAGTATACTTAAGGTCAGAAAAGTGGTATTCATTACGTATAACTTTATCAGAAAAAAGCCCTAGAAATCACACTTGATTCTAAACTAAGGAATAGCAATGCTAAAAGAGAAAAGAATGAATAAAAAATTAGTCACTGAAGGACTGGGATCAGGAAACATACAGAGATATGAGGAAAGACATACTATGAAGAAAAATGAAAGGATTTAGAGTTGACTTTTTCTAGAGAGAAAAAAATTGTGAAGAGACTGGTCTGAGATCCATAGTGCTTCTGCATCTTACCACAAGTGAAAAAGACAGATTAGGTAGTATTTTACTTAAGAGTTACCTAGATCTAAGAAAAAAACTTATTAGATAGTCTAGTATTTCAAAAAAGAAAGAGTTGATGGAGAACTTGTGGAATTCTTATTCCTACTGACTTTTAAGAATAAACAAATGGATAAAGATGTTGCATATATATATACACAACAGAATATTACTCAGCCATAAAACAGAATGAAATAATGTCATTTGCAGCAACATGTATGGACCTGGAGATTATCGTTTAAATGAAGTTAAGCCAGATAGAGAAAGATAAATATTATATGATATCACTAACATGTAGAATCTAAAAAAATGATACAAATGAACTTATTCACAAACCAGAAATAGACTCACAGACATAGAAAACAAATCAAAGTCACCAAAGGGGGAAGGAGTCAGGAGGAGAGATAAATTAGGAGTTTGGGTTGAACACATACTGAAGACTATATATAAAATAGATAAACAACAAGGACCTACTGTATAGCACAGGGAACTATATTCAATACCTTGTAATAACCTCTAATGGGAAAGAATCTGAGAAATATATGTATGTATATGCATAACAATCACTTTGTTGTATACCTGAAATTAACCCAACATTGCAAATCAACTACACTTCAATAAAATTTTTTAAAAAGAATAGAACAAATGGCTGGAGTAGAAGGCTGAAATTTAAATGTAAGCTATTAATATTATTTTCCTGAGGTTTTTCTAGGTCAAAGATCCTTCCCATGAGCAACTACAAGACATCTCAGAAATGGAATGGCCATAATTACTTAGGGAACATCGCAATGAATGGTAATTAGAAACCTAATCAAATTACATTATAAATCACATTCGTTTCTCTATAATTGGTTGCAATTTAGTTAATATCATCAAACAATTACCATAAGCATTCCTAAACGATTTGCTGAAGTATTTGGAGGACAGAATGCTGCTACTAATCCATCCATAGCAAATCAATTTCTGTGGGAATTTAAATGTTTGTTACAAACTAGAAATGCTCATTAAATACTTGCATCTTCAAATCAATTTGATAAATTCTTACTGACATTAATGATGTGCTGGCTATAGCCTATTACACTAGGAGATGTGGAAAGAATGCATTGTTGACTTTACCTTTCTTTGGACTACTCCTGTAAGTTTCTCCATTTCCCCCAGGATAGCAGAAAGCACAGATGATTTTCCAGACCCAACCTGCCCTACAACAGCCACTAAAGCTCCTTCTGGAATCTTTATGTTCAAGCTGCATGACAAGAAAAGGAGAGAGATGATACAGGAAATTCTTGTTATAATTGTTTCTAATGTATATTCCTAGACAAGTCACTGTACGCACTGAACATTGCCTTTAAAATTGCTGCTCTTTATGTTGTTCTACATTATCCTACAAAAACTAAACTGTCCAAAACGTAAATAACAAATGCTGAAGAAGAAAAGAGCAAGCGAACAGGAAAAAAAAGACAGTAAAAACAACCATAAAAATGAAAGGTACAGTGAGAGATTTAAAAAAAGGTAGCTCAGTGGTATAGTTCAGTGGTAGAGTGCATGATGCACGAGGTCCTGAGTTCAATCCCCAGTTTAAATTCCACTGAAATAAATAAACTAACAAATAAATAAACCGAACTACCCCGTCCAATTTTTTAAAAAATCTTGTAAATTCTAACATACTCATTTTCGGCTTAAAAAACTCTGAAAAATAAAAACGTGGCACATTATAGAATTCAATGCTAAAAGTTTTTTGCTTTGAATTTCCCCAAAACCATGACTTACTCTTTTAATACTGGAATCCCTGTTTTATCCCAGGAAAAGGAAGCATTTGTAAAGCCAATGGCATGATCTAGGAAGAAAAATAAATAGAAGAACGTATTTTAGAACCAATTATCTTCAGCCCCAAAGTCAAATAAATATTGATTCCAAAGAGGAACTGCTGACCTCCTATGTAGTTTGTTTCAATACTTTGAGGAAGAAGTTCCTCACTGTTGAGAAAATCTTCCAAACGACCCAATGATATTCTTGTCTATCAAAACAAACACAGACAGAAATTTGGGGGTTTCAAGCAGAAGTTAAACTAGAAAGCATTTACTGTGATTTACAGCATGATTAAAAATGTTTGATGCAAATTGAAAATACTAACAAAAATATTCAGGAAACATAGTTTGCATTGTTTTAGTGTTTATAAATAAGTCTACCAGTAAAGAAAAAGCGTAGTTTCAAGGATCAAAGATCAAAAAAAATCATATACGTAGGACAGCATGAAAGAAGAAAAAAAATTCCTCCTCACGTTCCAGTAAAGATACAACTGACTAAACTAATAATTAGAGAAAGATTCGTTTTTAAAAGCAACTTTAGGATTGTTGAATGAATTCTGCTCTTGAGCATAAACACAATTATAGTTCTGGCAATAATAACATTTAGTTAAAGTAAAATAGCTATAAAATGCTTTGCTACAATTAGGATGAATATAATCATCTTTTTTCCTAAAACTGACTTGCATGAAACCACCCATACATTTTTATTCACGTCATGCTAGATGTCTACTGTTCAGGGATAGGATGTAATTGGGCTGTGGTTTGTTTACCAAGTGTGTCATACCAGTTTCCATGGCTTGTTCTTTTTCTTTTTCTTTTCTTTTCTTTTGACAATTGTTCTCCTTATTTGTTTAGTGATGGCAGTAGTACACCAACAGGAGTTGGAAAATACTTTGAGATAACAGACCTTTAGCCAAATTCTAATTTTAAAAGCAAAACAAAACTGTAACTCAAAGAACTCTGACATTTTCTTTAAGAGAAATGTTCTGTGAAACAAGTGTTAGAAGTATCACATCAGTAATACTTCTATGCCCTCTGTTGGCCATTATTAGTAAAATAATATTTAAAAAAGATATTGTATAGCAAAAATAGCTTAATTGATATTTACCACAGAATTATGTTACTCTTCATTCAGATAATTTAAAAATTAAAAGGCAAAGTTCTAGGATGAAAGAGCTGGTTCCAGTGAGCAAAGATGCACTTTGTTTATGAACCCAGACTTGAAAAGGATTCAATGGGGGATACCCAGACAATCCAAGCCTGATATCCAAAAAATGTAACTGAGAAAATCACAGGGCAAAGGCATCAAGGAATTCACTTCTTTGGATTCCCTGTGGTTTTAGCAGTTTCCTACTCATTATAGTATCTAAAGAGCCTCTGGCATTTGGAGATTATAATAAAAGCAGGCTGAACCAGATACTTCACACAAGGTTTGTTGGCAGGCTGATATTAACAATGTGCTTTTTTCCCTGCTTGATTCATTCAGTAGATGAAATGCTGCTGAACCCTGGAAAATTCAAATCCAGCTCCGTACAAAGCACCTATTTTAAAAAGGTTCAACTGAAAACAGAAAATGGACACTTCGATCTAATAGTGTCAAACACCAAATTTTAAAAAACTAAAAAAGAAACTAACACTTAGCCAAGAAAATATCGTATATTAAAGCTTAAAAGTTATTTTGATGGAAGAAAAGCACAGGCAAAGAAGACATGATTTCTTCCATCCTATAATGTTCTCTATTGCTCATTAATTCAAGGAGATTAGCTTTGGAAGCAGTGTAAAACAACTACAAAAAGTGAAATTAAATAAAAAAAACAAAGAAATAATATGTGTAAAACCATAGATTTCAATGGAGGAATGATTCTCAGTTTAAGGATACTTTGTATGTACCTGGACCACAGCTGAGATCACCATTGGTAAGTCAAACAGCGGAAGCCTCAAAATATTAAAAAAAGACATAGATGTGAACACTTTTGTGGCTGTTAAAATGTTTCCTTCGTCCAGTAAGAAATAGATGCAAAATGTTGCCAAGGACACCTAAAAAAGAGAGATACGTTATTTTCTTCAATTAGTCAATGCTGATAACATTATGAGTTACAAACCGCAAATTAGGAAAGAAAATTTTAATAACTTTTTTGTTGTTTACCAAAATTCAGTACTATTCAGTAATATGGCTGAAGAATACGAAATAAATGTTTAGTATAGATCATGTAACTGTGTGTCTTAGTGGTCCAGCCTCCTTCTTGAAGTCATGAAGAACATGCCATCTTTTGACTAGAGTTATTATTCCCATTTAAAACATAAAGCCATTTATCTGTTTTTCAAAATGAAGTTTTATGTAAACTTATTTTTCAGTGATGTGTACATACATTCTGTCTCATATGTAGCAATTTAACTTTCTCTGTGTCTTAATATTAACCGAAGAAGGTATGAATAAAACATCACAGATAAGATTTATATACACATTTATAAGTTTCATTTAGAAAAGGCAGAAAAGTTCATTTATGCACGAGAATGTATTGACTATCACCTACATGTGGCGGTCTTAAGCAAATGCTTCTAGGACATTTTTACCAAAGTATTCCAAATGTAAATATTGCTTTTACTTTTATAATACTGGCATGCTTGTTTAAATAAAAATTAATAATATTTTATATTATCAACAAGGAAAGCATATGGAATTTCCCCTGACCCCATCACCACTGAGAGTGATGATGTGGGTTAAAATTTGATGCTTCAGTTACAAATGGTTTGCTTAGCCTTTGGTGTTCACCCACTGCCTCATATCTCAAGGCAATTTATACCCTTTAAATAACATGAGATTCCCAATATTTGCATGAAGTGACAGAAAGAGAATGGCCTCAGTTCATATCATTTCACCTACAGATACTAATTCCATAAATTTGAGGATGTTTCCAAACTACTAAGGACTTCACTTCCTTTCGTGAAATGAGAAAAGTAATGCCTTATTACTGCAAGAATGAAATAAGGCGATACATATAACTTGTCTAGTACACAGTATAAACACTCAATAAATGTTACTTCCCTTCCCAACTCCGTATAGTATGCCTTTGGGTCTTGCTTAAAAGGAATTAGTCATACAGATAAAAAAAAAAACTAAAGCTGAAAATACAGGTTATACTTAAGAATGAAGATGGGGTATGTTCCATTTATGAAAAATTAACAAAGATGTAAAATCTTATTATATTTATAAAATACAGACCAGTGAGAACATACAAAAAAAAAATCCCCCCTCCTTTATAATTTTCGTTCTCGAATCTTCATAGGTTAATGACTGCATTTCCTGAACATTTTGATTCATACATAGGGGGTTTCACTTTGGACACCTTAATTCCAGGTAATCTGGAAGTGAATCTGCAAGTCAAATTTGAAAAAATCAAAACAGGAAGTGATATACACACTCACCAAGAATGGAATGCAAGTTAACGTCAGCATAGAAAATACAGCAAGATATCCAGCTGATTTTTGAATTTCCAGTTCCTGTTCTCGAATCTCAATTACCTTCTTTTTATAGGAGGGTTCCCATGCATAAAGTTTGAGAATCTGTAAAGAAGCCAAATGACTATTTGACAACCAGTATCATAGAAGAAATAAAAACATGCACACATATAAATAGACACACTGTAACACACACACACACATAAAATTGCCTCAGTTTTTGACTGAGTCAAAACATTTCCTTGAATTGTGTTTTTTAGGGGTGGGTGGGAGGAGTAAATCACCATTTCCCCAGCCTTATGTCTTTCTTACCCACCAGTAGCTTACTCTTGAGCCAAACTTTGGCAACATCCCAGCTTCTGGCGTAAGCTCCATAGCAATTTTTGTCTAACTCAATTCTGTCACTTCTTGCTGGTCTAACTCTCAATTCTGTTCACTTTCCATTTTTTAAACTAAGCTCTTCTCCCTGGCCTCCTGATTTCTTGAAAACTGATGTCTTGGGACTTCAAGCCATTTTCTGTGAGGTGACTGGTATTTTGAGATTGCAAACTATTTTCTGAGATGGAAAATGTGGAAATTCAGAAACATAGAATGGCTCACCATATACAGTTGAGAGTGAGATATACCTATATTCATATCCCAGTTTTATCTCTTTGGATGGTTAATTTCATGTGTCAACTTGGCTAGGCTATGGTGCTCAGTTGTTTGATTAAATACCAATCTAGCTATTGCTGTGAAGACAATTTTCAGACATGATTAACACTTAAATCAGTAGACTTTAAGTAGATGCCCCCCAAATGGTTGAGCCTCGCCTAATCAGTTGAAGACTTTAAGAGAAAACACTGAGGTTCCCTAAGAAGGAAGGAATTCTGCCTCCAGGCTCAATACTGCAACACCAACTCCTGCTGAAATTGCTAGCCAAGCCTATAGATTTCAGACTTGCCAGCCCCTCTAATCATATAAGCCAATTTCTTAAAGTAAATATCTATCTACCTATCTATCCATTTATCTTTCTATCCATCCTATTAGTTCAGCTTCTCTGAAGATCCCTAATGATCTCTTACCAGCTCTGTGAACTTAGATATGACTCTTCGCTGCTCAGATACTTTGCTTCTTTATTTGTAAAATGGAAATGAGAAATCTTTTTCTTGAGATTTGTAATTATAAAAGAAAATAGATATAAAATGATAAGCAGTGTGTGACACATAGAAAATGTTCCATAAAGATAGCTATTATCATTGTCAGAGATAGGCACCTGTTTTCAGACCCCAAGGATGCAAACTGCTCACACCTTTAAACTATCCTGATTGTTACTTGGACTTCTATCAACATTCTAGTACATTCACTGCTGGGACTGCTATTTCAAATCTTGAACTTTGCTCAGATTCTGAGGACATTTTCTTTTACTTTATCTACACTATCCTAGTCCTACCGAGAATACAGATTTTCTTTTGTGAATATCAATATTTAAAACCTATGAATATATATCACTGTTTTTGTTTTGTTTTGTTTTGTTTTGTTTTTATGGATGCAGAGGTTATCAATTAACCCACCAAGAGGTAGATGCAAGAAGCATTTGAATTGTATGCTTTGGAGATGTGTGACCTTACTGAATAATTTGAGTTAAATTTCAGAGATACTTGCTGCTACTCTTAATTTCAGATGAATAAATGGATACCAGTTTCCTTTCAAGGTATCTTTAACAATGTCTTTCACTTCAGTAATTTACAATTTTGTAAAAATTCTACACAGCACGATACAGCATATCATTAGATTCTAAAGTGAATCAGTGTCTTCGTATAATGGGTATATTCTGTGTGTATAATGATAGATGCACCAGAAAGAGGAAACGTCCTATGCAGTTGTCAATGTCACAAGGAAATTCCATGTGAGCTTTGCAAATTTTGCACTTCAGAAAAATTGAGTAAGGCATAAT